TTTGATAAGAAGATTAATAAAAGATGGTATTTAAATGGAGAATCAACAATGACTAGTGAGGGACTTTTATGTAAAAAGTCCTAGCTCTAAAAGTTTCAAACCTTTATGTTAATGCCGGAAGGCAACTATTCAACTGATTAAAAATTTATTAAAATCTTATTATATTTTAAAGGGTATTTAAAAGAGGAGAAGTTGGAGTAAAGTGGTAATAAGTGAACTATGAATTAAGAAAAAAAAAACATTTCAAGTGAGTGAATAGTGTCCTATATAATTTGTTAATAAATTTATTCTCTTCACAATAATATTTAAATGTATTCATGACTGTTTATATTGTTATATTTTAAATTTTATTATCAACTATCATAAATAAAAACGTTTTTACTATACAAAGGTTTATAAAAAGAGTCAGAATTATTTTATGATTGAGTGTCTTCTATTATTTAATATATTGAGAATGTTTGATTTTACGGTTTAGGAAATCATTTATTATTATGACTCATGTATGCTTGATTTAAAGTGTGAGATCGAATTAGAACGCTAGTTGCTAAAGATAATTCCGTTAACCTTTAATGTGTCATGGTACACCTTACTAGTAGAGTATTTTATAGGAGGTGCTAGCCCCATGCACAGGCTAACACACGTGAAACGAAGAGATTGATATTCATGAGCATTGTACTCACGCTGGTTTTGTGGCTCCTGCCATGCTTATTTCATGGCTTTTAACCACACTTGATTGGTTATGTATTCTCGTAGATTATGTATTCACACTTGTTGTTATTTACTCTCATAGATTATGTGTCTACACTTGTTATCTGTTCTGATAAAAAATTTTGCTCAAGGATATTTTGAACTTAATTTTTTTAAATGAATTTTACTAAACAAGTTGACTTTTGTGAATGGATTTCTTTATAATGAGAAAGTTACATTTCTTCATTGTTTAATACAAGTATGATAGTTAAAAAAAATACTTAGTTTGAGTTATACACCATTGCTTTTTTTAATTGATTATTTTAGTTAAATTCATGCTTATTCTATTTATATTACTTTCTTTATTACTTTGAATTTTATTTTGAGATGCTATTCACTGAAAAATATTTTTACCTTAGATAATAGTTGAACTTGTATTTCGAGGTATCCATCGAGGAGTTGTATTACTGAACTGAAAAGGAAGAATTATTTTAGATAAATTTTAATTTGGTGAAGATTTGAACGTTGTATTCATATTAGAGCCTGGCCTCATGTTCTCCATGTAAATTATAAGTAGGAGCTTCATATTTCTTTGAGATTAAACATCGAATTTAATATTGTAAAAGAAATTTCTAATCATCCTATTAATGTATTCAAAGTGTTAACTTATGAGTTTATCTGATCGAGATTTAAAGGATGTGAGTTTTGTGCTCACATTTCGTGCCGATCACATTTAATTTTTGAGATATGACATCAATGATTAATGATATCCACATATTGGAAAAAAAACATTCTCTCTCTCTCTCTATATATATATATATTTATATTGTAGAACTTGAGAACATGGAGAAATGCTAAAATGGTGGATATAATACTCTCATGATAAATGACTGTAGAAATTCAAAATGAAATTTAATGCTCCTATAAAAATAAATTAAAAATAAATGAAAAACGAGAAAATAATTTCAATCCATTAACCAATGAGGAGAAATGTTCAATAAAATTATCCGATAAAAGAATGATATCAACATTGACCTTAAGTCCATCAACCAATGAAAATCAATCTTTTTCTTGTCAGGTTGAATCTACAAGCTTCGTATATATAAGTTGATGATTGATTGATTTGAGCTGAGGAAGCTTTGTATTCTTAAGACCACAATCATGTCATTTCAAGCTCTATGTATCAATGATGATAGATATAAGATAAATAATAATTCTAGATTATAATAAAAAAATTTTAAAATTTTTTAGGATTAGATGTTAGGTAGTTAGAGCTAAATCAAAATAAATAATCCTGAACAATTTCTTTCTCCCTTACTTATTTTAATATATTTTTAAGCATATTAATTCATACTCTGCTTTGTGTAAAACTCTTATTTGAAGACCTTTACATTTGCCATGAAAAGTTGTTTAAAAATATAATGTATACTTTTCATTAAGGTTATAAGAGAATTTTGGAAGTAATTCATCAGGTTTTGGCCTTGCTTTCACTCACACATACGCACTGTTTTTTAAAAAAATTCTTAAGTGCTCATTTTCTCACGGAATTTAAAATAAAAAAGATAAAGGAAAAAAGGCGAAACAAACTACGCCTCACTGAAAATGTGTCTAGGAAAAATTTATGTTTTAGCTCTAGATTAAAAATGTATTAATATAAAAATATATTAAAACAATATTAATTCAATAATAACTAGTTCAACTACAAGTCATTCGAGGAAGTCTTCAATTGGCATTGGCTGGGTCACCAAAATCCAGGAGATTCTCATGGCTTGAGTTGTAGGGAGGATATTAATTTAGAAAAATTGCATATAAAGCCCTCGTTGGAGAAAAAACGCACTTAGGACCTCATGCATTTTGAAATTATTCTGTTTATCTGAGGATTCTTTTCATAAATATATTTTAGAAAGAAAAGACACAATTGCCCTTAGTAGGAAAGAAAAATTTTAGGTTCATTATTAGTGAATAATTATTTACTAATATGTGAACATAAAATTATGAATTTGTAAACATTTAATTGTAAAGATCTAAACTTGCTAACACGATGAAGCTTAGCTCTAAATATATGAAATCATTAATTACAGATTTTAATTTATTAATAGATGAATATGTATCTATAAATATTCAAACTTTAATTAGTTGTAAATTTTTGAAGTTGGTAAAAATGAATTTGTCAACTTTGAACAGGAATTTAACTATCAAAGGACAATTATTTATTAATTTGTGAACATAAAGTTATGAATTTATAAATATATAATTACAAAAATTTGAACTTGCAGTCAGAATAAATTTTAGGTCTGAATATTTAAAGTCATAAATTATGGGCCGTGCCTTGTCAATAATGAACCTGTATTTGTGAATATTCAAACTTTAAATTATAAATGTGTAAACTTGACTAACACAAACTTGTCAACTTTAAATAAAATTTTACTATCAATAAATAATTATTTGTTAATTTCTAATCATAAAATTGTGAATATGTGAACATCTTGCTATAAAAATATGAATTTTCATTTGCTATCTTTTTTCACTTAGGACAATTATGTCTTTTTTCCCTAAAATATATTTATAAAAAAAGCCTTTAAACCTGCAAAATAATTTCAAAATGCACTGGGTCTCCTCTAAAGCCCTGGGTGTGATCTTCCCTATTATTCTATTAATTTTGTTTGAAGGAGAACAATATTATTAATATAGAAATAAAATAGCATATAAGATTAACGAAAATAGTTAAAAAAGAAACAAAAAAAGTTAAATGGACACAACAATCCCCGGTGAAAAAGAAAAGTTAAAGAAAAAATTAGCATCACATGCAAAGAAGAGACATTTAGAAAAATGACAATGCAAATGAGTTATGTCCAGAAGCAAGATGCCCTCAGAACTATTTTTAAGAGAGAATCACATTCAACCTCCTCTCAAAAAAATTTATCACAAATAAGATCCAACAATAAGTTTTATTTGAGAAAAAAATAAGTCACGCTTTTATTTTAACAACGATCCACATTTCGCATGTAATTAATTTCTTGAGAGAGGGTCGGTTGTGATTTTTCCTACTCTCAAACACCCTGAGATAACAGCTTTGGAGATAGCCAACAAAGGAAATTGGCAACTACCTGAGTTTCCAGTTTGCAAAGTTTTGAATGGTAAGAGATCTTCCCCGAACAGTTTTATAAGAAGAATCCAATGCTTTTTGAACCATACAGACCAATGACCATCCTAGCTAGCTCCACCGCGAGGTCTCTTGATTCCATTTCCATTGAGATGAAGGTGGGACTTTTCACAAGGTCTTGGTTTTCTTTTCCAGATCTGATGGTATTTTGCAAGAAGACCATACCCAGCATGGTATATAATATTATTCCATTAACTTGGAGAGTGACATGCACAAAACAATTTTATGATATAGGTATAAGTGTGTGTGTGTGTGTATAATTAATAAAAGCTGTACACTTTCTACGCATTAATTAAATATATACTTTTTAAATGATTGGGTTTGTTTTAGCCTTTGTCATGATAGGGCTCACTTTTATCCGGACATTGCAATCGGGGTGTCCATTCCTGACTGGTTCCTCTGGGTTGTTAGGAAAATATATGAATATTATAGTTTGTAATGGTAAATATAAAATAAAATAATTAAAAAGAAAGGAAGTTGAGTGCCCTCCATTTGAGAGAGAAAAATAATTGGAATAATTAAAGAGAACTAAATAATTGAAGCTGATGGGCGATGGGTGGTTCCTGGTTCCTATAGATAAAGGAGCCTCGTGAAGGTCTTTCAGTCTCACACTGGAAACGCAGACGCAGAGGTACGTTGAAGGTTCATCGCTCATTCCGCAAATGGAATCGCAGTGGTCACACGCCGGTGAGTGCCGCATCTATACTTAGCTTCTTCAAGGTTTATATATTAATCACATCCTAAAAAAATTTATTGTTCTTTTATAAATCAATTTGTATAAAAAAATAATTTTTTTGAATTTTACATTTTCATAATTTCCATTGAGCAAAAAACAAAGAGTTACAAGAAAAAGAAAATGGTTTTAAGAATAATACATTTAATGGGGAGAAGCTTCCCTCTTCTTACTATTGGTCAAAGAAAGGAAGAAGAAGAAGAAGAAGAAGAAAGCTTCCTTCTTCTTACCTAATCCCTTTATCCTTCTTCTATTTTCTCGGATAAAAATTTCCAATTGGGATTATAATAAATTAAGGTTTGTAAATTGAGGTTAAAATAAAAATTTGTGAATATTTATATTTAAATATTTTCCATACTGTGATATTTGTCATGTTTGCTTTCACAGCACTCACTCCCTTGCTCCCCCCGCCCTCTCTCTCTCACCCCCACATGATGATTGAGTCATTGACAGACTAGGTTTGGGCCTTTGGCTTTTCAAATATGTTACGTTTTCGTTTGGGTTTCATTTCCATCACGTCCTTCATTTTGTTTCTTCTTTCTTCGTCTTCACTCCTGGATCCACCGGAACCGGATAAATACTTTTGGTTTCCAAGGTCGTAGCAGGTTCTCCAGTTTTCATTTCGATCATCTTTTTCAGTTTCGTCTCCAAGCTTTTCAATCGACAAGGTAGGTTCTGGGATTTTTGCTGATGCTTCTTCCCCTTTTTTTCTCTTTAGTTCAATCAAAACCCCATCTATCCAACCCTGCTTGGTTTCCCGTTTAAACGGCTCAATCCGGTTCATTGAACAGTTCATACTAACTTAAAATGGCCAAAACAAGCCGCTTGTTTTTCTGGTTTGGTTTCATATTACTGCTGGAGTGCTCTGCTTCTATTTAGTCAACTAATTAAATGTTTTTAATATATGTACATAGCTTTATTTTAATTAAAATACGTTTAGTTTAATATTGATATCAATGTTTCGTAATTATTATTATCATGACAAAATAATAGAATGCTTTATAACTAAAGCATCTTTTGACGATGTGATATGATTTCAGAATTGGCATTTGTAAGAAAGGAACAAAGAGCCCACAAAGTGAAAGGGTCATCACCGATTCCGCAGATGGAATTACAAAGGCCAGACAGCAGTAAGTGCTTCCAACTCTTGGCCATTTTCTTCCATGTCTGTCTCTGTTGTATTCTTCTTTTAATTTATATCAACTCATTGGATATTCTTAACTTAAATGTTTTTTTTTTTTTAGGATATTGATTTTCTTCCTGTCAATAGAGCAATTGGACAAGGGTTTGTTTATACTTTATAGTTTAATGGACAGGGAGAAGAGGGATTTTACTGATCTCTTGTTTAATTTAGAGAAGAGAATAGAGATATATTTTAGTTTTGTTACGATTAAAATGAAAATTTCGAATTTCAAAAGCCCCAAACAACTAGATTTTATGAAAAACTTAATTATAGTTGGAAGAATAATAATTAAATCCCAAAACATTAAATTGAGTTAAAAATATCAATCAAAATAATTAAAAATCTAAAAATTTTAATTATAAATAAATGTTTAAATATCAAATGTAACTATTTAAATTGATATTTATAATTTATTTTTGAAAAAATTTAAGCAGGACCTAACACTCATTGTCTCATTATATTTTATGTCTAGTATGCTTTTTATATTTTCCACTAATAGATTAAGATATGTGCAACTTTATTTCATATATATTTATTCTTATGATTTTTTTAATATTGCTTAAAATGACTTTAGGTAGCATTTGGATAAATGAATTTAAATTTGATTTTCAACTTTAAAATCTCATATTTTAAATTTTATATTTAAAATTTATGTATTTAAAATTCTTTATTGGGATAGTTCAAAAAAGTTTTAAATAAAGAAAAGAAATGAGTTAAAATTTGAAACAAAAATAGAAAATTAGGAGTGATGAATTTACTTTTAATTTTCAATTAACAAGAGGCAATAGTGAAAGACAAAAAAAAAAAAAACACAAGAATGATAGAGGCATCTATAGTGAAAATATAAATATAACAAAAAATTTAAAATGACTAAAAGTGTAGAATAAATTTAAAATTACAAAAATATATAATAAAAAATAAATTTAGATTTAGATTTTCAAATTCATAAAATTTGTCATATCCAAATTAAGGATTTGGTTCAAATCTAAATTTTTATTAATCCAAACCAAACACACCATTAGAGAAAATTAATTATATTGTTTTCCAGTATGACAAATAAGATTGAAATGAAGTATTTGTAAATTATGATACATAATATTTAACATGAAAATTCTACAAAGTATATAACATATAATTAATTTATTTGCTTTTTTGATTGAGGAGAAGATGGAATAACTTGGCTTGTACCTGAGATGAAAGAGGATCGAACAGAACACGAACTGGAGATAAGATATTCTAGAACAATTACTGAAAATGAAAATCAAAAGGGTATGCCATTCTCATTCCTTTGCTTTACTATCACTCGAAATGAATTAATTAAAATTCTTGCTTTCTACACATAACTTGCTTCACATAAAATCTAATTTCAAGCAAACCTATCAGGTTTTGCTCGAGGGTATGTTTTCTTCTCATGGCCCAGTGAATCTAATACTGAAATATATTGCGGTATGTGAATTTTCATCACTATGCTTTGCCATTATAGAATGAACTATTAACATATCATAATGTTTTCTAGATTCCAACTGGAAATATGTCTTCTCATCATCAAGTGAACCATCTGGAGTAACAATTGTGTTCGAGCAAAGCCATGGAGTCCAAGGAAGAGGGAGAGCATTCAAGTTAAAGTCAAACAATAATAGAGAAAGTGAATATATTGATGAGGAAGATATGCCTCTTGCTCTAAGAGAAGTAACAGGGGACATTCAAATGCGAGTGGTGAGATTCTCAAGAGGGATGGAAATTTCATCATCAGTTTGGAGCACAAGTTAACAGAGTATGAACATAGACCCAACAAAGACTTGAACTTGATTACAGCAGCATATGTTTCCATGGATTCCAATGTTGCCACTTCAAACAAAGATTTCATTGTAACTGATAATGCAATTTATAAGCAACGTACTCCTTTAGGGAATACAGTCCTATATTTAGCAGCTGCTTATGGAAATAACGCAATGGTACAGAAGGTAGCTCAACAAGCTCCCTATCTTTTCACAGTCACCAACAACAACTATGATACTGCATTACATGTTGCTGCAAGAGCAGGCCATGGCTCTACCATTCAATTCCTCTTGAATTCTTGGTTGCCTTTTGTGAGACGTGAAACAGATGGTCATCAGCAAGATCAATCTACTTTGCAAATGATGCTCTTGATGTCTCTCACTTTATTACGAAACAAACAAGGAAACACATTTTTTCATAAGGCATTTATGGTCAATGCCCATAATGGGGCTAATATTTTCCACGCCTTTAAAGCCCCTTTCATTAAGGATGGTTCAAAGCTTGAGGCTGATTTCAAGGGAATTGTTAATCAACTAGCAGCATTTATAGTCAACAACGAAGGGAAATCATTATTGTACGTGGCCATTGAGGTTGGTTGTAAGGAAGTTGTTGATCAACTATTAGATCTCTGCATCCAATATGACTTAAAGCCTCAAGGAAAATCTCCCTTTGTTCCAGCACTCATCAAGAGAAATATGGGTAGTTGTCACTAACTCAAGGATTTGTTTCTTTACTATATTACTGAAACATTATTCATTTATTAAATCTTAATTATTATTTTTTATCTATCACAGATATGTTGCATGCCATTTTGAGTAAGAAACCAAATTGGATACACTTGAGAAATGAAGAAGGGAAGCTTCCTCTTCATATGGGGTACTATGAAGGTGTTTCCAACTTAGTAAAGAAATGTTCTTCATGCATTATGGAAAGGGACAATAATGGCTTCTTTCCTATTCATTTGGTATGTAGTAAAGGTCACTTAAAAGTAGTTGAAGAGTTGCTAAAATACTACCCAGATCCTGTAACACCCTCAAAACTTACAGACCGATTTTTCGCAAATTATTAAAACCATTATCATGGTAGAAAATTTTCTTACCATGATACATCCAAGACATAACGCAGGTCTTAAAATATCCAAAAAGGTAATTAAAACTATGAGGGACAGACATAATACTCTTGGTCATATAAATACTTTTAATAAAAAGGATTAGAGTTTACATGCTTCACAAAGAAGATATGTCCTAAGTTGGCACAAGATACATTGTATAATCCAAAATAAGAGGCAACGTAAAAGATGGTGTCTCATACACCATAGTTACAACTCTGGTGCTTTCTCGGCCGGACTCGATCCTGTAAAAATATTAACCATGGGGAATGAGACTTAAAAGTCCCAATAACCAAAAATTAATATGTAATGATGCATGCGGTTGTAACTAATCATGCGATTGCTAAGTGGGCACACAAAACATTTAACCGAACAATATTTTCAAACAAACCGAACAAGTATTTAATTTGCATGACTACACCTTATATCCTCCTTTCGCCATGCTCGGACGTCAAATCACCCGGCTAAAGGTGAGTTGGACCAAGCGACACGCCACTCATTTGGTCCAATGAGGGCTTACCACGTGGTAATAATTAACCGAACAGAAATTCCCATTAACACCATACATTAAAATACTCTGACAAGTCATGCATCATTCAAATATCCAAACAGGAATATATCCGAACAATAATATCTCATCATGATAAATAAAAATAAATTTTTGACCCACTTGGCAATAATTTCAAATAAGTATATAACAGTATTTATTTTCAATAATTCATAGTTTTTCCAAACAACAAGTCAACACATAATCATTCACAAACACACTCATCACAACACATTAATAATGGTTACCTTGTGTCTTGAATAATAAGTTCCCCTTCACAACTCCTTTTTCACCACTATCTTTGTCAATATAATCTACATAATTATTTCATAATACTATATATTAATTTTACATTAAAATAAATAACTCTAATTTAAAGAGTTAGAAAGTCTTAGATCTATAATCCATATTAATACTAATTTAAGATTTATGCCTCATTTAACTTCCCAAATTCTTTTTCTAAAATTCTCGTACCGTAATAAACTATTTTTTTTATCCTCAAATCACTTCTCGTATCACAATTTCATCCTTCTATATTCTAAAAATTCATCCAAAAATAAATTAAAAATTTTAGAATTATCCTGAAGCCTCAAATCACCTTTCTATAACCTCAAAAATACTTATTCATACTTAAATAAATATTTAATAATCATAGGTTTATCCCTACATCTCAGATTCCACATAAATTCAACCATATAGATCTAGATTTTAACTCAAAAATTCTTAAACATGAGTTTCAACCTCAAAAAAATATTCTATAATATTTATTATATCCCTAAGAGTTTTAACCTATATTTTTAATCCATCATATTATCAGATTAACTATCATATAGAAAAAAATCCTAATCAGAATATTTACTCTATCCTACAAAATAATCATATCACTAGAAAGCTAATATTATTTAGAAAATAACTATAAAATTAATTTTATAATTAAATAAATTTTTAAATGCTAATCTAAACAGGAAAGTTAGAACATACCTGAAGAAAAAGAAAATAATCCCTCCTTGCAAGAAGACGTCGAGTGAGAGGAAGAGAGAAAAATAATATAAAAATAGGATTGTGGGTCCCAAAATTATATTAAAAAAAACTGTAGGTCTGAATTTAATTATTCAAACCTTTGGGCCATAAGTTGCAATTTTTTCTAAATTGCATCTTAGCCTCTCATGCTTCCTAATGCACACACCCCCTCCTTTTTATACATGAAGACACCTCTTCTCTTCCCTCATCTAACCAATGTGGGACTTAAAAACAACAACCTTCCACCCCTTTTTTTTTGTTCCTTCTACCTTCTCTCTCTCTTTTTTTAACACACACATAAAAAAAATTATTTATGTATTATATCTTAACTAAATATTACTTATGTGGTTTTAAATTTAAATTTTTAAATTCATAATTAAATACCTAACCATAATATTATTTCTAAATAATCTCAAATAATATAAATTCCTATTATTATTATTTTTTCCTCAAAACCTAAATTCCACAATTTCTTTATTATATAAAAATTAGGATGTTACAGATCCTACAGTGATGCTAGACAAAAATGGCCAAAATTTGCTCCATATTACTATTAGAAGTGGAAGATATGAGGTAGTTAGGTACATCCTCCAACATCCTAAGCTTGAGGTTATGATAAACCAGAAGGATAATAATGGAAATACTCCTTTGCATTTGGCCACCCTTCTGGCACCCCAAAATTGTGCATTGGTTAACTTGGGATAATAGAGTCAATCTCACCATACTTAACCAAGAAAACGAAACAGCTCTAAACATTGCTGACTTAAGGCATGACAAAAATCCCTCCCTTGCACAGGTAAGTTATTGTTCATAATTTAACAAGTTCAATTTTTTAAGTCAAAATCATGATTCTTCTTTAAAGATTTAATAAAAATCTTTTGTTATAACAAAAATAAATGTGTTTAATTATTTGTAGCGACTTACATGGAGTGCGTTGCAATCTGCTAGTAAACCTCGAAGTTCTTCTAGGTTGCTTTCAAATGACGCAAAAGCTAGTGAAGAAAAAGAATCTCCTAGCACCGAACAATATAAAGATAGAATTGACACTTTGATATTAGTTTCAACTCTTATAATAACAGCATCCTTTGCTGTTGGGTTTGCCATGCCAGGTGATGTGGATCAAGGAATAGCTATTATGCTGAATCATATTATGTTCCATTTGTTCATTCTCTCCCTCACTGTCTCTGTATTTGGGGCTATTATTACAACTATAATTCTCATGTGGGCTCATTTAGATGATCTCTATTTGATGCTTTTTGCTTTGAACTGTGCAATGCCAGTCCTAGGTGTTTCTTTGACAACACTATCTCTGGCATTTTTAGCAGGTGTATACCTTGTAGTGAGCAAACTTAGCTGGTTGGCTACTACCTTCTTGGTGTTGAGTGTGGTTTTGATCCTTATAGTTGTGTTCTTATACACCCTCTTTTGGCTGCCGTCCTCTTCAACTATACCATTTATTAGATAAATTTCCTATTATCCCTTTCTTCTCCTTGCAAAGATAGCTGAAGCAAAAAGTGATGCCAACCCCAAAGGTTCTAGTGCTTAACTTCTAGCACCCTCTAATCTAGTTGAAGGATGTGTGATTATCTATAGGAAATGAAGAATCACACGTGTTAAGGATCAAATATATTTACTTGTCTATTGTCCTTTTATATATTATGTTATACTTATTCATCTGTACTATTGTGTCATAGTAGGACTTGTTGTACATGATAGTTGGTAATGTATATATGGTTGTAATTAATAATTAATCTTGTGTGTGTCTTATGTACAAGGATTAGTTAGTAGGAAGGCTTTGATCATTGTGTGCTGTGCAAGGGTTGTGTATTTTGACAATTGTGAGCAATTTCTAGAGCAAGTGTGGAACTCTACATAGGATGTTTTGTCATAAATAACCCACATATCAAGATGTGATCAATTAGAAGCTAGATATAGCTATCATACTAAACTGATTTATGAGAACACACACCATGTGTCAAAGTCTACAAATGGTATTTGCTAGATCGGTGGCCACTAAAAACAAATACAAAATGGATTAAATGAACAAAACCCTATATAAAGTAAAGAATTGATCGCTCTAAAATTGTTACATTCGGTAGCACTAATATTTCATAAGGTTTAAACCAGTATGGCATCAGACTCAGTAATTAATAAGCGTTTTTCTCTTTGAAATAAAGAATAGGTTATAATACCCTTATTTCCTTATCCTGGATCTTCAATCTCCAAATTGGCTCACATTAATAGCCTTTTTGGATATTCATAGTCCTGGCTTGTCATATTTGACCATGGTAGCTATTAAATAGTATTCTCTCATTTATAATTAGGAAAAACAAAAATCATAATATGATCAAAGAATAAAGAAACACACTAAGAGGACTAGAATAAAAGCAAACTTCAAAGAAGAATGAAAGTGATATATAAGCTAATAAAATAAGATTGAAGCATGCAAAAGACGATAAGTCCTTAAAATTGTGCATGCCTTTACACAAGATAAAAGAATTGATCTTGCTTTGCTAAGCCAACAAAACCAAACAACTTTAAACACTAAACAACTTTAAACACTGCGGACCTATGGCTTGACTAAAATCCATCTTTAGCACAAATAAGTTTGAATGCAAAATCCATCTTTGGCACAAATATGTTTGAATGCAACAAAATCCAAACGTATATTTCCAGTGACTTACATGATTGTGTTGCAATGAACTAGTATGCCTCAAAACATCATGATGATGAGATTCACTTTCAAAAACACACAAACTAAAGTGAAGAAAAAGGAATCCATAACCAAACAGTACAAATATAGAATTGACACTTTAATAATAGTTTCAACTCTTGGAATAACAACCTTGTTTGCTGCTGGATTAACCATGCCAAGTGATTTGGATTATTGGACAGGCATCAATCTTAATCGTTGTGGGTTCCATTAGGACATTTTATGTCTCACAATCTCCATATATGGTGCCACCAATATGAAAATTATTTTTATGTTAGCTCAATTAGGAGATCTATGTCTAATACTCAATGCTCTTAGTTATTACATAATACCACTTCGATGCCTCTTTCTTATAACACTTTCATTGGCATTCTTCACATATGTGTACCTAGTAGTGAGCAAACTTACTTGGTTGACCATTACCTTTGTGACAATGTCTAATTCTCCCTCTATTTTTTTCTCTCTTATTACTATGATATTTCAAGTCTTTGACCTAAACTAATTCAGTTAGTAGATTATAGGCATCTTTTTGAAGAACATACTGGCCACTGAGAATTTAATCATTGTTGCCTCCTTAGGGCTTGAACTCGAGACTTCTAATTAAGCTTGATCAAGTATAATTTTGTAATTCTAATTGTCATTCATTTTATGCTCTCCTTTGTTTACCCTTTTGAACCTTGCCATTCATGAGAGACATCTCTTGCTATCCTTTTCTCGTGCTTGCAAAGCTCCGTTATCCTTAAATAGATGATGATGCCAATGACAAAACTTCTTCCCAATCTGTTAAGCTTCTTCTTTCTCAGCAAAATTTTATTATTGACATTCAACACATTCTTCGATAATCAAATGTTAGTACAATTATTTTGCTCCAAAATAATGTTTGTACAATAATATTAATTTATTCAAGTTTGACATATAAATAGTAGAGTCCTCTCAATTAGATTTTTTTTTCCATGTACAAAGAACATCTAACTATTTGCTCGAAGAACTAAATCCCTACCGCTCACACCCTTATTAAGCTTGGTTATATAAATTGCCACTTAGCGATAATCCTAGATTTTACAGCCATGCGATGTACATAAATAATAAAAATTATTAGAAGTTAAACATTAAATAAGCATTGATTTAATAATTTTATAAAAAAAGTAATAGCGTTTAGAAGGTGTAAGATTATTGAAAAAATATAGAAGATAATTGAAGCTACTTGTAAACCATTTCCTTGAAGATACATTAAAGACTTTTGAATATCAATGAAGGCTCTGAAAAAAATTAAAAACTTTTAAAGATTTATGAGAACTTTTGAATTTTAAATAAAGGTGGAAGATAATTGAAGCTTTTTGCAGAAATTTCTATTAATGATATGTTGAAGACATTTAAAGATTAATGAAAACTCTTAAAGAAAATTTAAAACTCTTACCCTTCATTTGGAATGAGAAGAAAATAGGGATAAGAGTAAAATATTGGAGAAAAGTAGAAGAAAAAAATATTTTCCTTCCCTAACATAAAGCTTTTCCTTTAGGTTTTCTTCCATCATTGGGGAGAAATTAGGAGAAAACAAGAATGAATAATGTCTTTTTTTAATATATTTTTTCTCCAATTTTCTCTCCTTTATATTTTCTTTCCATTCCAAAAAAAAATGTTATTGAAGACTTTTGCAAAAATGTAGAAGTTAATTGTTCAAAATTTTCTTCATGAAGACTTTTCAAAATTCAAAGATGTTGAAGGTCTTGAAGAAACATAGAAGACAATTGAAGATATATTACAGCAAATATTTGAATAAAAAATGAAAGTAATGTGTGAAAATATGATTGAATTTTTTTTTTTTGCCAGAAAAATATGATTGAGTTTTCGGCCAAAAGGAAAATACGATTGATTGACATGGCTTTCTCACTATATGTATTAAAAAGCAAATAGGACAGAGCATGTCACAATATACTTAGTTCATTAGTGTGGGGAATTGCTAAAGGAAGGAATATGAGTCAGGTTATATGAGTTGACTCAAATAATTGATCATAAAGGTCGGGTTGAGTTAAAAAAATTAATTTAAATAAAAATAAGTTTTTTTTTACTTGAATCATATAACCTGTGAATCATATGGGTTAACTCTAATGGGTTAGTTGGTCGGTTTAACCCATATTATTTTAAAAAATTAAAAAAGAAGAAAATTTTGTGGATATAAATCATAATAAGCATAGTTTATTTAGCTATATTAATTTATATATTTTGTATAAATATTATAAATTAATATTTTGGTATATGTAAAATGAATCATGAAAAAATTATTAAATTAAAACTTATTATTTAGGTGTATTTAAAAAAAACTCATAAAAAATAAATTAAAAAAATGGGTTGGAGGGTTGGCTCATTTAGCCAGCCAACTTTTAAGAGATAAGTTAAGTTGAGATTTTTTCAACCCATATAAAAATGAATTAAACCTAATACAACTTATATTTCTTTCAATTTATATAAACTAACTCATATGAGTCAGGTTGGCTCGTATTCCCACATTTAAGAACCATTGTATTTTTTTATATTTAATGAGAAGGACATTTTAATAATTTTCTCATCCAAACTTCCTTCTTTCTTTCCTTTTTTCCTTGAAACGCCCTCATGTTTATTCAAGTACCGTGGCCACCTTTTTTTTTTTTTTTCCTTAAATTACACGCTGGGCTGTTGTGCACCCTCTGATTTCTCCACCAAATAAACCCTAACGAGCTCCCAAACCAAAACCCTCATCAAGTCCATCAAGCGTTGCCGCATCGCCCTCCTCTCTAATGGCTGTGAGTATTTCCTTACTTTCTGTATTTTCCTAAGTAGCAATCGTTGTTTTTGATGCACCCTTTCCAGCAATGTCTTCTGGTCAAGACCTCCGTGGAAATTTATCATTTCCGTTGTCTGTTGCTATCCCGTTTGGCTGCGTCTTTGGTTATGTGGAGTCTTTGATGTTGGCCTTTGCATGTCCCGTTGGTCGGGCTCGTGATGTTTTTGAAAAATTGCTCCACATAGTATTTATTTGGAGACTTTCTTCAACTATCCCTAAATATTAACGCGTCTTGGTCGTGCATTTCAAATTTCTTCTAAGGTTTGCCATATTTTGAAATATGATATCGGCTGTTAGCACAATTTGCGAATAGAACCCCTGTTTTCTTTGTTCGGATGTTCTTCGAGCATTCCCATTGTTGGATTTGAGTACTGAAAATGTAGACTGCAAATAGTTGCCACTCAACTTGTAGCTTATATGGCACCAGCCTCAGTTTTTAAGATGAAGTTGAATATGATATCAAAGATTAGATCCTTCCCGTCCCTTTGCCAGTTCCTTCCCCTCAAGGCTTTGTGCCTCTTATGTGACAAAAAGAAAAGAAATGAGGAGTTTTAAAGAATAAGGAATCTTCAATTCAGTCTATTACTGTTAGACATTCCATGAATTGATTCTATATTCTATAGGCTCAATCTTATACTTTAATTAGCTCAAAAGGTCAACCTCTTACAGATTTTGTTGCCAGGTTTTGTATTGTACTTCTTGATGTATAAGACTCTCCACAAGAAATTCTCAAAGAAATATCTTTTCTTTGAGCAGATTTTTTTTTTTTTAAGAATGTAGGTTATATATTTTAGAGCCCTTGCTCTTCGCATAAATATTTCTTTGTCAATGTATTATACAAAGGAATCAAATTTTTGAATTGCGGTAATGCATAGTAGCTTAGCATATCTAACTATGATAGAATAACTCACTAACTACCTTTAACAGGCTCTAATAGTAATAGCACTTGTTATGAAAGAGAAAGGAGAGAGAGAGAAGGTATTAGATGTGAAAATGAACTGTAACAGCCAACAACAATAGCCTCTCTCACCACCCTTGCTGCATTTATAAGGTTTTAGTTATCAACTAATACAGTGCTAATCCCCTTGCTATAACCAATTCAACTTCACATTCTATTCACATATCATATTTATAAATTTATTTTATTTCTTCTTGAATTCTTTTACTTGGAGTGATATTATTAAACTTTCTTTTCATTCTAATTACATCTTTTTTCTTGCAAACTGCAGACTATACCAGTTAATCCCAAGCCTTTCCTGAACAATTTGACTGGGAAGCCTGTTATTGTAAAATTGAAGTGGGGGATGGAGTATAAGGGTATGGTCCTTACCAAATGTTGTAATGATTCACCTGTTCCATTGCAAATAAAATTACGGTTCAGAATTTATTCATTAGCTCTAATCCCTATTGTATATTAATATTCATTTTGATTTTCAGGTTTTCTTGTTTCAGTTGATTCCTATATGAACTTGCAGGTGAATTTTTCTACATTAACTCTTTGGGTGCTCATTTGTGTACAGAACTACTTTATGTGGCTTGTGGCTGATTCTACTGCTAGTCTAAAGAGTCTTATAAAATTATTTTGTTTTAAGCTTTTGAATTTGTTAGACTGTGTGCAAACTAGATTTTTTTTGTGGTTTGCAATAATAACCTGATAGAAACTTTTTGACCAAATGATATATTGATTTGAACAAAGTTTAGGTGGAAAATTCAAAATTCAGATTCTGATACTAAAAAATTGGAGAGGAGAGATAAAATAAAAATAATGATATAATAGATGCATGAAACCGAATGCAAGCTTTACTTACTGTGCATGTGGCTTGGGAATCATAAATTATAGAGAGCTGTCTTGTTCATAGCCTATGAATGCTATGAATTGTATGAGATTTTATTGATATATATTACTCCTTCTTGTCCTATTTATAAGTCACATTCTAGAAGCTCCATTTGGTCACATTTATAAGTCATGCTGTGGCTTTTTAAGTAATTTTGGAAAAGTATTTTCAAAATTACCCCTTCATGAGAGAGAAAAAGTAACATGACATTACCTTTTGAATTAGTTATATAATTTGGAATTCTACATACTTTTATTCCTTGTATTTTTTTTTTTTGCATTGGTATTGATGAGGTTGGTAGAAGTGACTTGTAAAGAAGACTGGAGGAGTACATGAATAGAGGCATGTTCGCATTATCCTTTCCACATTGTTTTACTGCATTAGGCTGGAACTATATCATATCACAACTTGATATGACAGTTCTATGAACTATGTGGCATCAATATGGATACACTTAATATATCCAATAAAGTATAACACATGGGGTTTAAGGTACTGGAATAGTGGGTTATATTATATTAAATGCTAAAATGCACCTTCCCCTATGTGAGTGGGGTAAAGTTTGTTGTAAGACTTCCATATGAAGTAAAAATATTGAAATACCATGAATTTTATCAAATTTTCTCATGTGATGTGCATATATTCAGAAGCAAAAGTGCAAAATATGGTTTGGTCAGTTCAAGTTCAGTACTTCAGTTTTGCAAATCTTTGTGATGATTCATTTATTTGAACTTGGAGTTTAGACCTTTGGCTGAGGTCTGAGCTTGTGAACTGTCTTGAGTTTAATTCTTGATGTACTGCAGTTGTGACTAAGACAACGTGTATTATGCCTTTTTGAAATGTGCTATTCAAATGAGAAATAAAGTTGAAGTTCACTACCTATTAACGCTTCATTGTTTATGAAAGGCTAGAGGGTATTTTTACAATTTTGAACTCAGCCTAAAGTTTTAATTAGGGCAAACATGAATGCATTGAGCGTTTTTTACAATATAAAATATTCAGAAGAGGTGCGTAAGAATTAATAAATTTTGCAGAATCTGTAATAAAAGTGGAAATCAAGAAAATCTGGTTAAGTAGTTACTTTAAACTTCAATTTTAGCTTAAAATCCTATTGATGTATGAGCCTATGCATCCAATTTGCATGTACAGACACTATAGCAGATTGTTTTTGGCATATTAGTGCTCTGTTGTCTATTGACACCGGAGTTGCTAATACTTTGTCCATTTCAACTAACCAAATTATTAGAAACGCCAAATAAAATCTACAAAGATCCATTTTAATTTAAACGTTTATGTTCAATTGTGACAGATTGAAACTGGGAGTTAGCTTCTAACATTTTTTTTTAAATGTGTAAACGTATTTGCAGCTCGCCAACACAGAAGAGTATATAGAGGGCCAGTTCACTGGAAATTTAGGTGAAGTTTTAATCAGGTACCTATCTTTATCGTATACATAAAATCTCTTGGCGTTTGCAACTGATGCAAGGTCTCAGATTGACTGCTGTTTCTGCGTTTTAATCCTATTTTTGTGGGACGAATGCCATGCATTATTTTGTCTTCTAAATATTGTTCTGTGTTAATCAGAACCAAGTTATAAGGCTGTGATTTCGTATTGTTTGAAATCACCATAATCATATATCCTCTTACCATGATTCTCCTCATTATTGCAGTTCTTTGATTAAATGTTATGGTGAAGTATTGAGTCTTGTTTCATTATTTGTATTTTTAGATGCAACAACGTTCTCTACCTTCGCGGAGTACCAGAGGATGAAGAAATCGAAGATGCCGAACAAGATTAGAATGACCAAAGTGCATAGTGGTTGTGGCCTCAACAGAACTCCGTTTTACCCCTCAATCAAATGTTGCATTGTCTGTACTTATTAATGTAGAGATTGAGATTAAGATCAGTGATGCCTATCTGTGAATTGGGTGACCATGAACTTGTCGATGCGTGGCGGGTAAATCTCATGTTGGCTAATGGCCTTTTCATGTTTCAATTAATATGTATGAAATTCAGAGGAGATTGCACTATTTGAAGGTCATGAACAGTGAATCTTTTTATTCAATTGGCTGTTTAGCCGAAGGATTTTTGGCCTGTGATCATGTTGTGGCTTGGTTGTTTGATGTTGATGCCTGAATTACTGTGGTGGATTTATAAAATATATTCCCTGGGATATATCAGTGACAGATCGTTGGCTCGTTTTTTATTCAATTAGCTGAAACCAGAAAAGATGAACGGCATTAAGATTGCCCAGATGTTAACATAAGAACACAAAGGCAAAATTACAAGTTATCTCTTTGAATTATTTGTTAATAATAAAACTTACATGTTCCTTTTTGTTCGCAATGTAGGCTATTGGCAACTATTTTATGGTTTTTGATGAAAGTTAGATTAAATTTTAATCCTTCCTTTTTTAGGTTGTACATGTTTTTAATTATACTGGTTCAATATCTTATATAAATGTTTTAATAATGATAATTAAAATTTTAATGGACTGTTCTTTAAAAAGGGGTACTAAATAAAGGTATAGTTGAAATTACTACCCAATATCTTGAAAATGTCGTATATTATGGTGGATGGATTGTGAATATTGTATGTAACTATAAATTATTCTTTAGTCATCAATTTTTCAGTTTTGGTTTTTGACAGAATTTGTTCACGCTGTTCCCTTTCTCACTTAAACTTTGGCCAAGATAATTTGATTTGGAACCCCTCGATAAGATGAATGCTCAAAAGGACAGTAGCCACAAGTTTTAAATTTATTATGTGGTTTAGATTTGATGACGTGACCAAGTGATGGGTGAATGAGATGCTTCAGTCTGTCATCAAGGACTGGTGAGAAGAAGGTTTGTTGGGTTTCAATTTCCCTCGCATTTTTCAATCCTTAATCCTTATTTGGTCAAAAAGAGAATAGTGGGCTGTTTGGTGGGAGGGAATTGAAAGGAAAAACAAAAACAAAAACAGTTGATTGAAGAATTAGGAATTGATCAAAATGTTGAATAAGACTGCAACGATAGGGTTGATGAGATATGGTTCCTCACCTGATCACCTCACAAGTAGTTGCCATGATTACTGCTTTAGAATATAACCCAATTAATCAGATTTGGCCTGGCTTCCGGAATTTCATCTGACCTCTTCCAACGTCAGGCTGCCCTATTTTTTTATAATATTAAATAGATACACTAACTGTAACAATATATTTTACTATTTATGACTTGAAAAAAATTTGATGTAAATTTTAATCCGTCCAATCTTAAATATAAGAGCTAGTTATCTGATTGTCATGAATGACATAAATTATGCTTACCAAAAAAAAAAGTAGATTATAAATTATTTAATTGAATCTAACAGTCAACAATAGTTGTAGTTTTCATCAAATGCTCGTCATTTCTGGTAAGTTTTTTGGAGCAAGAAAGCTTGATAACTACACAACGCTCATTGGTCGAGCAAGACGTGTGGCTTTGGATATTTCCATTTAGTTGCAGGATTTTGCGTTTCTCAATCTCCATTTTTGGAAGTTATACTGTTGGCCAACAAAAAATCGTGGTTTCTGGAACCACAACGCCGTCCATTGACATTGAAAGACAACGCCACATCTTTTTGTAAAAATTGTTTAAATTTTTTAATTATTTTTGTGCAAGAAATATCATTGGATCAGACAAAAGACGATTTGGGAAAAACTTTCTATCTGCTACCCCTAGCACGTGATGGCCGGCGCCGTTCGAGCAGTCGCCCTCTAAATTCTTGATTAGTTTTAAGCATTGCTTTTGGAAATTGAATCGGCCGAACTGGAGTTTAAACGTGATCGGATTAGATTAGTTGTAATTAAATTAATATAATTTAAACAATAGGTGTGAAAAAAATAAAAATATTCTAAACAACATTATATTTGTATCATTAGTCATACACGCTAAATTTACAATTAACCACACTAACAATATAGGAAAAGTACTTAGTGTTTATTACAAGTCACCAAAATAATCAAACACGCAAAGATTCAATTCTTTAAACCAAATAAGAAAAACCTTTTCAAGATCGATTTAACTGAGTGTCCACCTCTTCATTTTTTGACCAATTTTGGGAACATTCCGAACTAAACATCGGCCGATTTTTTGATCCGATCCGTCGAACCGACCAGCCTAATTCTAACAACACTGGTTTTAATTTACAAGCTTACATCTACAATAGCAGTCCCTCACTTGCTCGTAAAAATAACGAACTCTTGCGTCCTGCCCGTTGTTCTAAATCATTTTGAAACCCCGTATTCTCTCATATTTACTTCAAGAGATTTTTCTTACAATTGCCTACCCACAAAAATTATATTTAAGCGCCGTAGGAAAATCCAATTAATTGGACATACACGCTGGTTCTAGATATTACACAAAAGAAGAGCAAAAGACGGGTCATACAATCTACGAAATAATAATATTACCAATTTGTCCCTGAACCTTTATAGGTTCATAAAAGAAAACTGGAGAGTTCATACTTGCATAATCTGGGTATAAACAACAAATTTAGCTAACATATAAGAGTTTTTTTTTTTTTTTAAATCTTTGCCGAAGCTTGAACTACATAAGTTACACGAACAAAAGAATCCATTGGAAAAATAGTAAAAAGAAAAAAAAGAATCCAGGGACCAGTCCCAGAAGGCAACTGGTAGAGACCCCCGTTTGAGGGCTTTCCAAGAGGGCGTTGCAAAAACCCCCCCTTCCAGGTAATTCAACCCACAACGCATATTTACCAAAGCTTTTATTTCTTCTGCTTCTTTTGCCTTCTATTAAGAGGTCGTTACCATACATCACGCAAATATCTGCCACTCATTTGTAGGTTCTTGACCAAGCTCTCTGCTTTAGAGCTATCCATAGAACCCTGAAATTAACAAATTCACAATAATTTATACTCTCAATCCTCATATCAGTAAGCAATGAGACACCCTATGGAGAATCATAGTGCATTTTACAAGACTTGGAGATTGAGAGATTGTAAGAGGAGAGAGAGAGAGAGCATCAACGTCCCAATTTTACAAGCAATAGTCATCACCCTCTTTCCCTTTCTAAGGCGCAAGTAGAAAATAGAAAACCACCAAAAGCCAAGACAATAAAACGTTATTCTAAATTAGCATACCTGCTCTTGCGCAATAGTGTGTAGAGTACGGTGGACATCCCTAGCCATGCCTTTGGCATCACCACACACATAAATGTAAGCTCCCTGAGATATCATGCTCCAAATATCCAAAGCCTAGACACAGTAGAGCAGATTAGGTGCCGTTGACCCATCAATAATCAATTGATAATTTGAGCAAACCGAAACAGCTGCTTAAGAGAAAGGTGGTAGGCTAGATAGGATAGATACCTTCTCCACCATCTTATGTTGCACATATTCTTTGGCGGGTCCCTCGCGGGAGAAGGCTACAACAAGCTCTGAAAGCACACCACTTTCGACGAAGTGGTTCAACTCATCTTCATATATGTAATCCTTCAAAAGAGTAATCTTAATTAATATATGAATAATCAAATCAGATATGCTAAAAACCTCCTCAGCTAACCCCCTGCCTATTCTCTGAAAAGTCAGGAAACCGCATCAAGGATAGATAGCTCACCATTTTACGGTTCCTGCATCCAAAAAATAACACGGAGGGGCCAAGTTCAGCTCCTTCTTCTTTCAGCGCTAATCTTTCCTGAAGTGCAAATAAAACACACAAATATAAACAATTGGCTTAGGCAGTAGTATATTTGTATTGTTTGAACAAGTGAATAGCAAGTCAGTTGGTTCAAACCTGCAAGAAACCCCTAAAAGGAGCTAATCCAGTGCCAGGTCCAATCATGATTATCGGCACTTTAGTATCAGCGGGAAGTTTGAAATTTGACTGCCTGACATAGATAGGGGCCCAACTGCAGTCCGAACTTTCCTCCAAAGGAACAGAATTCTGGGCAACAAACAATTAAACAAGTTAAAATCTTCATCAGAGATCAGAAATGAGTTTAAATACAAAATCAGCAGTAGAATCAAGACATTTGGCTTCCATATCCTTTGATAATTCCTTTTCATTTTTGAAAAACAGTTCAGCTTAATCAACTATAATGGCCAAGAAAAAAACAAAAACATCTATCTTCCAGCCAATAATTCCTTACTGATTATATCCTCCTTTACAACTCAACAAGTTCAAGCAAACATATCCAAGCAAGTGTATAAATTACCTTCATCCATGTTGAACACACTCCTTTGTGAATCCTCCCGGTGGGCGTTTTGTCATAAACTAATGCACAAGTAACATGGATTCTGGATGGAGATATCCTGTAACAATTTTTTGCAGAAGTGCAACATATTAAAGATATTTAGATCCACAGATTCAATATTAGCATGTTACAAAATGCAGAAAATATAGCTCCAGAATAAGGTATGATTGTTTTGCCACCATTCATGCAATGACAAAAGTTGGACTTGGGACTCGAGGATATTCAGAATGTATAAGGGCTAATAGGTTTATTAAGAAATATGTCATGAGCGTCATCACCTGAACATCTTAAATACTACAAATTCATTATTTGTAATTATCTTGAAATGCAGGCATCGATTCTCTTTCATGTATGGTACATGCAAGCAAATAAAACGAACTATTAAGCTTCTCCATTTGCTCTTCATTCACTAAAGTAATTTTCCTATATAATCACTCATATCAATGCAGTTGAAAAGACAGTATGTAACCTTGGAGATGATGAGATTGAGTAATATCTGGGCTGTAAACGAGGAGCAACTGCTGCGAAAAAGACACCAAGCGTAGGTTTGGCTGACGGAAATTCAGCCATGACCTCAAGGAGACTTCTCTGATTAGCAATAACCCACTCTGCATAATCATCCTGTATACGCGAAGATCAAAATAGCAGCCAGATTAGAGAGGAAGCACAAAAATCTATGTAGGAATTTCCAAGATATAAATCTGTTACAACCTTTCCAGCAGGTGATGCAAGATATCTTAACCGTTGAGCTTCAGAAGGATCAGCAGCATGGGCAGCCAAGGCAAGTAACGCAGACTGCAACATATATGAATAGAATAATAAATAATTAACATAAAGCATATATCTCAAAAAAGGTTGAAATTAACAGTTATCATGCTTAAAAGAAGCACCTTCTTAGGTGAGCTCAAAGATCTGCATATCGAGTCAGAGCTGTTCTTAAAGTGCAAGGAGGAAATGGAGGTGGCAAGGAGCTTCCACTAAGTGGTGTCCCATCTTCATTATCAGTATGGATGGAGAAAAAGGTATCTGGTGACAGACCTAGTAATCTAATTGCCTCTTCTACAGTTTCAGCCAGATTCTCACAGTAAACACCAACATGATCTCCTGTTTCATATCTGTGAAACAAATCATGCATAAACACAAGAGAAGTATAAGTACATTAATAGGTAAAGTGTTTCTAAACCAATTATTTGGCTGCATGCAAATACTTACGCAAGTCCAGAGCCAGAAATGTCAAATTCTAAATGAGTGCAAGAACGATCTGATGCAGGAGTGTGAAGCTCCTTTCTTACAACAACGTTTGCTCTTCATGAGGAATAAGCAATACAAGTTAGGTTACAGTATGACATGATACCAAGTCATTACTGAAGATTTCACTATGATATACCTGCATGGATGTTGAGCATCGACAACAGCATGGCCATTTGCATTATGCCAGCTCTTATCATCAACACGTTCATCTGCTGGTCCATGAATAACAACCCGATACTCCAAGACAGCAGCAGTGTAAGGGGTAGATACGGATCTATCATCCTCGTCTCTAAGCAATTGATCCAATTCTGGCCACACCAATTCTTTCCTGCAATAAAAATTGTTAGCCAGAGGACAGAAGGGCCTTGCATATCAGCATGGAAACAGAATCACACACCAATCTTAACTAAACAACTAAATATTTCATTACCATGCAGAGAAGTCATCCTCTATGCATTGATCATCATCTCCCAGACCCAAGGGGACAAGACGCTTCCCACCTGCAAGTGGAGGAAAAGGGTAAGATCAGTGGAGTTTGTGAGTAGCGAGGGAGTAAATAGTGCCCTGTGCATTCTTAGTATCATAACGATTTGCCCCAAGGATTTTGTATTTTGCAGAATTTAACCAGAAAAGTGTGCACGTCCATATGCCTAGTGCCAAACTAGTTATCATCATACAAATGAAATTGATGTTTACTAGATTTCAGAGAAATCAACGAAAAGACATCAAAAGAATACCTTGCTCAGCAAGAATTTCATCAACCACCTTAGCCACCTGATTCAATAAAGGGACGAAGCAGAGCACAGCAAACACTAAGTACAGCGTAACCGGAAATTCAAAAATTGAAATGCTAGGTTAAAGTAGGAGTTCAACGCAGACCTTATTGAAATGTTCATACTGCCTGTTGCCGAGGCCAAACACACCATACTGAAGATTTTGAAGCCACTCTCCTCTCTCATTCCCCTAAAATCACGGCCACGTAATCAAATATATCATTGAGTTTCTCTTACAAAATTAATTCAACTCCAGCTACTGTAAATCAATTAAGGCTACCTCAGAAAACCATTTGTAAAATCTTGCGGCATTGTCGGTCGGTCACCATCACCATATCTAAACCATGGCCACCAGATCAAATTACCATGAGAAACTTCCTCAAAACATTACTAGAAAGATAAAGCTAGAAATAGTTCCGAAAACCTACGTGGCCAGAAAGAAAAAAGCCAGCGTCTCCTTTTTCAATTTTTCCTCGTATTCATCGTCATCAGCTGCATAATCATCCTGCTCATCGAATACATAAAATTAAACGTGAAGTCAAAAATAATACCAAATAAACCAACACCAATCAAAAAAGAAATAACAAAAAGGAGGACATTATGATCACAGAGAGAACCAATAATACCAAATCCACGACTTTAAACGTTGCCTTCTCGTACCGGGCTTTGGCCTCTTCAACAAGCGCCTGCTCAAAAGCCAAAACCAGCCAATTATTAGCACAATCAGCCGAAGCTCACGAGTTCAAAGCCTAGACACATTCAGAAAGACTAATCATGCACAAAATTAACGGAGCCTACCTTTGCGAATCCTTCTGCAGTACCAGTCTGCGTACCGAAGAAGATGGTGACCTTTTTCTTACCATCATCTACCTCAACCTCCGGCTCCTTGGAGATCACCGGCTTAACAGGCTCAACGGCCTTGACCTTCTGACCGCCAGATCTCCGCCATAACAAGGCCACCACACAGCCGATCAAAACAGCTATGGAAGTGGTCAAGAACATGACGAACTCCCGGTTCTCCAAAAGCATGGAAGCAACCTCACCGGCAGCCTCGGAGGATACATTGGAGGGGTCTACCTTGCCCTTGATTATGGCAGACATCAGATCGAAAGGCGAGATAGCCTTGACGGAGGTGGAAGGCTGCATGATGGTCCTGCCTGAAGATATGAAACTGCAGAAATTAAAGGCGCCAAAAATATATAATAACTATAATTTTGATGAAGAGGCTGCTACGAGAGAGAGGGAGAGAAGCGTAGGTGAGGAAGAACGAAGCAGGTTGGTGATGAGCGAGGGGGCGAGGAAATGAGGAAGGAGGTGAAGCAGAAAGAGTCCCTCAGGGGAGTTGGTGGGTGTGAAGTAGTTAGGAGTTGCGAGGGGGGGGAGAGAGAGAGAGAGGGACTCTTGAAAATGCGTGGGAGTGAGGGGGAGGGGTATATTGGGATTTGGGAGAAAGGTGGAGGTAAAGCCGCAAAGGAAGTAGCCAGAGGGCTCAACCATCGTCTACCAACCCACTCTCCTCATACTCACCTAACACCCTACTTCAACCCTGGTTAACTTCTCAACATGTATTCCAGCCAGATTTACAATTAATTTTTTTAAAATACTACTACAGTGTGTCCCATATTTTAATTGCTTGCTACTGTAAATGTAACATAAAATCTTGATTATATCTTTTATAAATTCAAAAAAATTAGAAAAGAAATAATTTAATTTAATTAACTAACATACTGATTTAATGAAACGTGTAAAAAATGAAACGAAATTCATACACTCATCTGGTCATCTTTCTCGCGTCTATTTTGCCATCAATATCAATCAATATATAATTATATTCAAAGAACAAATATATTAAATATGCAAATAAAAAATAATTTTGTAAGAAACTCGCATCTTATTTTTATTTCTGCTCATTTTTTAATTTTTTTCTATCTTCTCAAAATTCACAATAAATATTCACTTTTGTAAACATAAGAGATTAAATTAATTTTGTGTTGTTGCTTGTTTCTGTTGTTCAGTTTTCGCCTTGGTTTTATTCCCCGAACTGGCTTGTTATTATCTCGCGCTTGAGCAATGGACGTATTATTCATTACCCCCAAAAAAAAATATTGGGGGAAAAGAAAAAATAAAATTGGTAATTATATTTTTTTATTTACTAAGCTTATATATATATATATATATATATTAAAATTTATACAGAATATTTTTAAATCATAAATAGTAGTACTATTTTTTGGCCAAAAAAAATAGTAGTGCTATTTTATTCTTAATACATAGGAGGTTCCGTATATATTTGAAATAGTAAAAAGATTTTTGTGCCGAAAATATAGCAAGGTGATTACATTGAAATTTAATCCAACAATCTTATACATTGGAGTCTGTATCAATTATTATCAATTAGACTAATTTTTTTTAGCTGAATTATACTTTTGTCTAAAAGATTTTTTATTTTTTTCCCAATTGAAGTGTTGAATGACTAATATTACCCTTTAAAGATAGAGAGATTACCCTGACGATTTATTGATTATGAATATAAATCCTTTAGTATGGGCCAAAAAACAAAAAGTCAATGCGTCTCAAATCTATTTTTTTTTTTAATTTACGTCACTTAGAAATTAATGCATCCTCTTTTGAAGTCCGTTTGTTGTATTCTTTCAAGCTTAAACAACGTTTCCGAAACAAATATTTGTTTCTTCTTCTGCCAAGCAATAAGATATTTATTGTTTTTTAAGTCCGTTTGTATATAATCTTTTTATAGAACGCTACATGCGAACGCGTGTACCCCATGATCATAATTTTTGCACGCATCTAAACATGTCCTTTTCCCCTTTGTTTTAGCCTCCCCTATTAATTCTACATAATGCATACATAATTTATTAATTCTATTTTTACGTTGTAAAATTATATAAATTAGATATTATGAGAGAAAGAGAACCACTATCCTTTTAGTGTATCTCATGCTTGTTGCTCCTTCTTTCTTATCAAATTTCAACCATCCACGTCCAAGGACTATGATTTAATATCTTCTTTTTTCTCTTCTTGCCTTATCCCCACTTTTTACATAATTTATTATATTTTAATAAGTTAGTACAAGAAAAAATTGAATTTTATATGCATTAGCTATCACTAAGTCCTTATGCTCATGTCAAAAAAAAAACACAAGAAGCAATGCCAAACACACTAAAAATATAAGGATTAATAGTCCCCCGGATAATTGCACTTAAACATTGTAATCAAACATGCTTCTTTGTAAATGAATGTTACTTTTCCGTTTATATTTATTTTACTAAAACCTGGTTAACTTCTAAAAAATGTATTACAACAAAGATTTAAAATTAAAATTAATCAAGTATATCAAAGTGTGGCTCCCTATTTTTAAAAAATAAATAATGTAGCATAAAATCTTAATTTTATTTTTTTTAATAAATTTGAGAAAGATTTAACATGTATTGTAGAATTCTTGCAATTTATCCTACCTAATCGGATAAAGATTGTTTTTTTTAAAAAAGAAATTTAGTATTTTTTGAAATGGCATGGAATGAAGTGGAATGACGGAAGGTTTTTATTATTGTCTGTGAGAATTGTTTAAAGAATAAAATAGTTTGAAATGGCTTTATAAGCCATCCTTCATCATCTAAAGCTCTCTTTGTTTACCTGATCCGATTTTGGGGGGCGGTTGACGATGAAATATTATTGTAAAATCATCTCTTCTCATCTCACTTTTTCACTCCCTTTCACCCTATAACTAAAAAAACTTCATTATATTTAATTTAAATATATTAATTTTATAATACTTTTAAATAATTGTTAAATAAATCGTTCATTACTGTTATAAAACTTTCCACACTGGAATGTTCCATCCCATCCCATTCTATCACATTTCATTTCATTGATACCGTTCACTTTCGTTTCATCATATATTCTCAAAGATATTATTAAGGAAATGAATAATCAAATTAAATTTAATGAATATACAACTTCTTAAAATAGTAATTCAGTGAAAGGTTCTAAAAATGAAATGAACTTCATAAATTCATGCATCTATTTAGTCAATATATGATATATTTAAAGAAAAAAATAAATTAAATTAAATGTGCAAAGAAAAGAAAAATATGATATTTTTCCAAGAAAAAAAAAGAGTTTAGTAGAGGTTAATTCCAGAGGCTCAAGTGCAAGGCATGCCGTTGGGTTTAAAAAATGCTTACAAAAATATTTATAGATTGTTCACTAACAAAATCCTTATAGCGAAAGTGGGATTTAAATCAACAATTTTTTATTATAAAATAAATTTTTATCAACTGAACCAACTTTATTAGTAGAAAAACAAGTTAATTTGTAAGAAACTCACTTCTTGTTTGTATGCTCATTATCTACCTTTTTATCTTCTCAAATCCATGATAAAAATTTAATTTTATAAATGCAATAAATAAAATAGAGAAGAAGAAGAAGAAGAAATTTCTTTCCTTTAATTTAGATTAAAATATGGTTTGTTATTTTTTTAGTTTTTAAAAAAAAATTGGTTGTGATTCAAAATTTGAATATTCACCGCTACTACATCTGCTCAAAAATTTATTTAGTGAATATATATATATATAATATTTAAATTCATAAATAAAATTATTTTAAATCCTAAATGGTATGATTTATTTTGGTGATTGCATATTTTATAGTTAAATAGGTATAAATTTTGATTTTACATTTAATGAAATGTATTAATATTTTATATTTATTTAATTAATGTTTATTTATTGTTCTCTCTTATTTAATTATAAGATAAAGAGAATTTTGCTTCAAAATTTACTCATATAATTTTTTCTTTATATTGTGCAGGTAAAACATAAAAAAATAAAAGAGTGAAGCAAAAATCACCCCTTCATACATATTTAAAAGGGGAAAGAACTTGCGCGACAAGCCATGATAATTGATGAGCTGAAAAGGAAAAAATAAAAAGGATAAAAAAATGAAATATAAATGGGGAAGGCTGAAGAAGCAATTAGCAACAACACACACACAACAAACACACAAATATAGTATTTTAATTTTTAAAATATAATTATTATTTTTTTAAAAGTGTCCCCTATAATGAATGATTTTATATTTATTGTAGGATATTTAATATGAGTAAATATTAAAAAAAAGCTAGTTAGAAAGTAGGTAACTACTTAATTGAGAGGTGAAATTTAATTAAAAATATTTTATATTTTTAAATAAATGAAATGTGTGTGTGTGTGTGTTTGGAAGGAGGCGTGCACTTCTCTGGACGTGATTTAAATGAGAAAAGCACAATGCAAAAATAAATTATGTAAATATTATACATATTAGAAGAGTCCCACGTTCATCATTAGGGTAAGAGAAGCTTTAACTTTAATTATAAATATTTGTCTCTATGAAATGAGAAGATCCAAGTGTATATAGGGAGGCTAAAAGGTGACTTGAATCAAAGGTTTGGAGCTTGGAGAGTTATTGTTAAGTTTTTGAAGGAATTTTTTTTAATTTTCTTCATTATTCTATTCTATGTTTTTTATTCTTTGTATTGTTCCGATTTATGCATATTTAAAGTCATGAACAGTTAATTTGTTTTATCCTAAGAGATTTTATAAACTTTTATATTTTATTAGTAAATTTATTTCAGTTGTTGATTTTGATGAATGCTTTCATGCTTAATATAATTTATTTTATTCTCATGCTATTGAGTGGCTAACTCGAGTGTTTTGATTTTGGAATCTACCTTTGACAAAAGAAAATCTCTATTAAACTATTTATTAAGTAACCTAGAAGAAATTGAATTTGCACTTGGGATGCACATTACTCAAAATCCTAAATAATCTTTTAAGGGTTTTGTATAATTGAATTAGGACTTGCATGATACATCATAATATAATTAGATTATAAGTTTTTGTAATTAATGGACACATAAATCTAAATTAGAATCGTGATTCTAAAGTTAAATTAAAACTCAATAATAAGAAATTGAATTACAAAGTAATGAAGGGAATTAGAATTTCTAGGATGTTCTTTAATTATTAATCTTACCACAGGTATATTATTTTATCATATTTTAATTTATTCATGTTTAGGTTTAATTTAATAAAATTTTACTCTTTGATTAGTTAACTTAACTGACACAAAATTTCGTTTGTGTCTATTTCTTTTGCTTTAATTTGTTGTGGGATGATCTTAATCGCTTCACTACATTTGATCCGTATGCTTGCTGTGTGTTAAAATTTGTGTGCATCAATTTCTTAATACACATTTAAGGTTCCATATATTGTTCATACAGCAAAATGATTTTTTTGGACCAGAAATAAAGTAAAGTGATTGCAACCCCAATCTTTGAGAGGCAACCAATTTTTTGTGCGACTGAATTATGCAATTAATTTGCGGCTTTACTGTTTTTGT